TTTAATCCAATTTTTTTTAATCCAATTGTTTAATCCAACGACTCGCGGACGACGCCATTTTGCGAAAAAATCCAATATTCACCTATAGGTGAACATCGCTCATTGAAGCGTCAAATTCGACCAATCAGCGCGCTAGAATTATGATATTCACTTATGAAATTATACTAAATCGTTATGTCGGTGTCTCGTCAGGTCGCCCTTATGAACCATGCTGTGTGGCCCTCGCACAACGTAACAACATGATGATATTGTAATATTCTCAGTATAGCATGAGATGTTTGTACGGTGTCATCACTGACAGTTTAATATTTCCGCGATATAACATAACAGCGGAATTCTTTGTATCGCAAACCAACGTTGTAAAGCTCAGTCTGAATTTGTGTTTTTATGAGCCGTCAATCATCTGGCGTCTGTGAAACGTAGCTGCGAGCAAGCCTTTGGACTTTTACACATAAAAGCTAAATATTACGTTTAAACACAATTTATAAGTTCTCCGTAATCTATAAAGTAAAAAACACCTTCAACTTCAAAACAATTCAACACACATGAGAAAACTACTAAAAAAACTCGAACTCGTAGAATATATTTTCAATGTTTAGTACTGAAAAGTCTTATTAAATATTACAGTTAAGAGAGGTTAAAATATTGAATTATATTTTGAAACGGATTTTTTTGTAAGGGCGCTAACAAGATATCTAAAACCAATCGTTAGAACTGGACTTCACTTGTGTTTGTATCAATTACTGGTCATATAGTAGTTGTAGGATAAGTTTACTTTCCTTCTTATTTCGTTTTCTTTTTAATTCAATACCTTTGTGTTCAATTTTTTTTTTTCAAAATTAAAAAAAAAAACAATATCTAATACAGTCAACGCTCGTCATTACGGACACCATCGGGACCGTAATTTAGTGTCCGCAGTAGCGAGAGTCCGTAGTAGCGGGAGTTACGTTCAGTCATTTCTTTGCATTTTTCGCCTGTGATTCAGTATTTTACTGTCCGCAATATCGAGGTGTCCGTTGTAGCGGGGTGTCTGTAAGGCAAAAGTTTACTATATTGCTTAAATATAGGATCAGCCCTCATTAATAGTACAGAGTCTGTAGGAACTTCATACAAGTATATATTTTGATAAAGTACAGGATATTACGTAAGCGCACGATGATACGGATTTTATCTTCGAGTGTTGAAAAAATCTCTTACGAGTGACATTGCGACGGATTTTCAACACAAGAAAACAGAGAAAATAAAATCCGTATCTCCAAGCGACCATATGATATTCTGTTTATCATATAATTATCTATAAAAGCAAACTATCTCTAAAAAAAACTTGTGTTAACTTCCAATATATAGGGGTACAACGAATCAGTTATTTTCACTGTGAAATTAACAACTTTACGGAAGGGATAAACTTACTTCTGGGCACTTTTTTTCAATTTCAATTGTCAATTTTGTTCATATTTTCCTTGCATGGTTTGAAATTGAGATCCGCCTCTAAATTTATCACAGCCGCATAAATTTGACAAAATGTGTATTTGGTCTGATGCCAGTCACGTTACAGTGCGTTTCTATAAAAAATAGTCCTAGCTATTTCTATGTAATTTGATATTCAACGAGAGAAATAAACGCTCTAAGGAAACACTAAAAGATAACTAATCGCTCCATACATTTACTACCAATATGCAA